GAACAAATACATATAAATTTAACTTTTCTAACCCCTTCCTTATGGCAGTATAAAAATATGTAAAAAAAAATCAACACAATCGGAATTGGTACACATCCTCAAACGGAGGCTGAAAATAAAGAAATGCAATTATGACCTGTAAATAATATTTTAATGATATTTTTTCTTTTAACACCAAATAACGGACTTGTGATTACCTATTCAAAACTGAAAAAATTTTGGAGCTATCTTTTAAAACAAAAAAGTTAGAGCCATTTGAAATATAGAGGCCGGCCTCGAAATCTCGAATTATCGGAAACTTTCCGGAGCCATATCTCCGGCCTCGGAGGTCTCAGAACGCTCATCTTCGGGTTCTGAGATTTTTTTTCATATCCCAAATTGTATGCAAAATTTCAGCAAAATCTGTGACATGCCGTCCATAGGTGGTTGACTTGACATGGAATGACCCATTTGTGAGTTCTTGTTAGTAGGTTTTACCTTGATACATGGTAGAAGATTGTTCATGATGGTTGACTCTTGAATAGAAGGATCTAGAGCTAGACAGAAATTCTTAATTTTGTGCGCAGCCGCGGCACGAACCTAAAGGTAATATTTTTTTTAAATGATAATATTTAAGGGACAATAATTTCAAGTGACATTCCAGTGTTAGTGGCGTATCTGATTCACAATAGTACCCTTTAAACCCTTTGACTAATCCAAGGATGACGGTAATTTAATCACAACACACGGAAAACTCTGTCTTCGATGAACAGAAGCAGGTTTAAAGGCTACTGTTGTAAATCTGGCATGCTTCTTTATTAATAGAGGGTTCTTGAAATTACGCCTTTAAAGAACGTGTACAGGTCTCTTGAAATAACGTGTACAGGTTTCTAAAAATAACGTGTACAGGTCTCTTGAAATAAAGTGTACAGGTCTCTTGAAATAACGTGTACAGGTCCCTTGAAATAACGTGTACAGGTCTCTTGAAATAACGTGTACAGGTCTCATGAAATAACGTGTACAGGTCTCATGAAATTACGTGTACAGGTGTCATGAAATAACGTGTACAGGTCTCTTAAAATGCCAAATTTATTATTGAGAATTTTTAAAAACATTTTAAGATGCCTTTTCACAGGCATAACCAAAAAGACCCGGAATTAATTGATAGTTTATCAGACGATTTTACATATCTTTTAATTTTAATTGATAGTTTACATATCTGTATCTGCACAATAAACAGACCACATTTTAGAGTTGGCAGGACTAGAGCTATTTTGTTATTATCGCTTCAGTTGGAAGGAGCTAACTGGAAAGTGATAAACCCCCATTAATTTTGGTAAGCTTCAACTATATATTGTAAGGTACACAATCACAAATGCCAACCACTGCACCGGTATGTACCTGCTGAGAAGTTTTTTTTTTTTTGGGGGGGGGGGGGAGTGGGGGGCCGGCATGGAACGGGTAGGGGGCACATTTGATCATCTTCAAATGTTTTCAGCTTTAATTCTTTTAGTGATAATCAAAAAACCCGGAGTTGATTTATTATTAATCAGACGACTTTACAATCTAATTTTACAATAATAATTAATTAATCTAATTTTACAATAATAATTAATTAAGTGTTTAAAAATAGATTTGTAAAGGAACCCGCAATGGACCCCCAGACCGCCGCTAGGTGAGAGAGACATTATGACCCTCTTAATTATAATTGTAAAATTAGATTGTAAAGTCGTCTGATTAATAAGTTAACTCCAAGTCTTTCTGATTATCACTAAAAGAATTAAAGCTGAAGGCATTTGAAGATGATCAAATTTTAAAATCACCTCTGCTTCACAATCCTTGAGTAGAGACTGGAACGCCGGGATAAGATCCGTCTTGGTGATATCCGGTCCTACAGCAGCCTGCAGCTCAGTAAACTTATCCGCAACCATGTACCGCACTCGCCAGCTCTTATCATCTGCGCACGCGCGTAGTGTCGGCATCACCAGCTGTTCTACGTCTTCCTTCTCTAGTATCTCGGCGATGGAGACGCACGCCTCAACGGCCAGAAGACGAACTGAATCCTAAACAAACAAATTATTTAAAAACATTTTCTTCGAGCTTCAAGTTTCCTATTTGGGTTTCAATAACGAACATTGGTTCCAGCAGACAACAAAAATTCGATTTTAAGAAAATTTCACAATAATCACGCTCAATGAGCTCAATAACTCTAGAATAATGGGTTCTCAATCAATCATTGATGTTTGATCAATAAGCCCCCCCCCCCCTCCTAAGTCGGAAAATTATTGTTAAAGAATACTTACATTGCTGACCTGCTCGTCCTGGGCCAGGTTTACAAACATCGGAACTAGATCAGACTTCAGGTATTCTACCTCAACAGCCTGAAATTCAGGGGTGAATAGTTTCTTTAAACAGAACGACACCCCCCTCACTTTAGAAAAACCCCTCAAATTGTTGATTTTTAATTTGCAGATTTAGGAAAAATTTAAGTTTTTCCCCCGGAAAAATAGCAAAAAAAAGATTGCAAAAATATATCCCCTTGCCTGAATAGTAACTTAATTATTTTATAACACTTGTTAATAAACTAACAAATATGAATAAATATTTAAGTATAATTAAATCAAACCCTAGATCCGTCTAAGGGTGGTTCCAAAGGAGGGAGGAGACAATGAACAAACTCTTATAAATACATGCATTTTTTAGTTTTAAACGGATCTGGGGAAAAGTGCGCGCGCGCGCTTTTTGAGGAAAAAAATAGGACTTTCAGCGTCCCCAATTACCTATAAATCGACATAAAACATGTAAAATCTGTTCTAAGATGACCCAAAATGTAATGGTTGGCTACTAGCGCGCCTGTCAGAATGCTCCAATATTTATTTTGACCTTAGAAATGAATTCTTTTTGCCCAATTACCTATAATCGACATACAACATGAAAAATCTTTTCTCAGATGAATAATAATGTAATGGTTGGCTACTATCAGTAAGAATGCTCCAATGTCTATTTTGACTTCGGAAATAAATTACTTGTCCCAATTTTGCTATGCATCTTATGCTACTTATATTATAACTTAAGCCAACATAGCACATAAGTGTTCAAAGATAGTTTCTTTTATTGTGCCGCGCGGACATTTAAGGCTCTTTCGAGCGCATATTTGTTTCAAGAGGTCAGGACAAATGTTCAAGAACAATTAATGATGTTAAGATTAATATATTGTCAAAAAAGTCATATTTTTTCATTTGGAAATTAGATAAAAAAAAATAATTAAGTAGAAATCCTTACTGCGGCCTTACTGCAAACTTGATACCTTGGCAAATTCTCCAAGCTTTCCACTGGCAGCTCTTCGGACCATGGGAGTATCGTCCTGGCAGAGGTTTCGGAACATGGTTCGCAGCTCAGCTAAACATAAACATAAGCATGGGAGTATCGTCTTGACAGAGGTTTCGGAACATGGTTCGCAGCTCAGCTAAACATAAATACATGGTTCGCAGCTCAGCTGAACATAAATACATGGTTCACAGCTCAGCTAAACATAAATACATGGTTTGCAGCTCAGCTGAGCATAAATACATGGTTCGCAGCTCAGCTGAACATAAATACATGGTTCGCAGCTCAGCTGAACATAAATACATGGTTCGCAGCTCAGCTGAACATAAATCCAAAAATTATTTTACGTTTAAATATTCATTCAATTCTTTTAAACAGAAATTGAAGATTTTGATTTGCAGCTCAGCTGAATAATAATTTTAAAATCATTTTACGTAATGATAAAGAAAGAACAATTTTTTTCTCACCCAGAATTTGAAGTTTTTAATTCATTGCTCAGTTAAACATAAACAAAGAAAATCATTATAAGTTTTAATAAAGACAGAGACATTTTATCTCATACCGAAATTGAACATTTTTGATCTATATGGAAACATCCTTTTTTTAACTCAGAAATTTAAGTTTTTAGTTGCCCCCTACCCAAAAAATTATGAACGCTGTTCTTAAATTTAAGATTTTTCTAACAAATATTGCCAAAAATTAAGAACAAAATTAAGAACATTTTTCAAAATTATGATTTTTGATAACATGTTTTTGATATCGTGAAAAATTTAAGATTTTTAATAACATTTTTTTGAATCCCACAAAAGTTGGAAAAAGAATTAAAAATGAAAAAATGAAAAAATTCTCTTTTTTTGTCAAAAATAATTACTTCTTTATATATATATATAATTTGTAATTTGAACTAATTAGAAATGAAATCTGAAAAAGAGGCCCCGTTATGTACTTTTGTAGAGAATATATGTTTAATAATGTTTAACAAATATCATTTCGGTAATAACCTACAAAATAATGAAGTTATTTAACATAATACAGTGCAGCAGAGTTAATTCTTGCACGCACGTCCAAGTATGATTGATTGATGTAGATTCCTGTTAGTCAAATACTTTGATGCGGAATTACGGAGATTTCTGGATTTCTAGCTTCTCTCTTTTTTTGGCCGTTTGTTGCGAGGGTGAGGGGGGGGGGGAACTACTCATAGAACTCTCAATAGGATTAATTTCGTCTTCTTATTTTTGACGGTATTACAAGATTTTTGATGAAAATTTTGAAAAAAATTGTAGGTGAAAAAAAATGTATAAACATTTAAAATTTTAATATCTTTCCCTCCTGAAAATTAAGAACACTAAGCCAAATCTTAAAATTTAGAACAGGGAGTAACTATGTAATATTGAAAAAACTATACTCGCATTTAAAAAATTATATTATATTTTTTGATCTTCCAATTTTAGTTATTTAATCCGCCAATCCTCTGTGTTTATAAGCTTACCCTTGACGGGAGCGGACACTCTAGGGTATGAGGCGGAAAAGAGTCCACAGGCGGAGGTTCTGCTAGTAAACCAATCTCCGCCAGCCAATCTCTTCAACTAAACCACAAACAAACTTCAATGAACAGAAAGATAGTCTTGAACGGCTATTTGTGATCGTTTCATCAATAATATTTCTTTAAATTAAAATTGTAGAATCGTCTCATTAATTGTAAATTAATTCCGGGTCTTTCTTATCAGGACTCTACTTAATATTTAAAACTAGCTCAGGAATCCCCAGCTTTAACTGGAAACTTAACTTTCTTTATCAAAGTCAACTTACAAAATTAAGAATTTTTAAACCAAGGTAAGGACACTTTGTTTCAAAATCTGAGGCAAATCGGTTAAGGGGTTTAAGAGTTATGATTGGATATACAAACAAACAAACAAAGATTACAACTATATATAATACATATATATATATATATAAATATTACCAATGGAACGAAATGAGCCTCTAGATCCTCTGGAGAATGCTCCTGAGCAATAGCGCGGAGGCTCTCAACCGCCTGTTCAAAATTATTAATTAAATTCTTCAAGATTTTAAATGGATTGGTGATCATAGAAATAATCAAAAATATAGATTATGCACAAAACAAAACAAAACTAAGATACTTAAATTACACTCCAATCTCAATCAATCAATCATAAAAAAAAAATTATAATGGGTAAATCAACATTCAACAAATAAAATCAAGAAACAACCATTCAATCAACATCACTACCTTATCTCTAACAATAGTTTCCTCTACAGTAGCCAATGATTCCAAAGGAGGGAGGAGACAATGAACAAACTCTTTGCCGCCGACCTACAGAAAAAGATAAAATCATTGAAATTTTTAATAAACTTAATATTAAGTAATTCAAACATATCCTGGAACCAAATCAAACATATCCTGGAACCAAATTAAACATATCCTGGGACCAAATTTTTAAAATTGAACCACGTCGCTGAACTACAAACTGTCGGTTCAAATGTGAACCATGCACCGATTCAAAGTTAAGGATTAAGGAAGGATTTGAATCCGTGATTCCTAATCATTGCGTCAGTGGATAAAATTGTAAGCAAGGAAAGTGTGACAAGTGCGCCTGTATGAAAACAAAACAAGTAAAATAGACGTCAAACTTCTGAAATAAAAACCATAAAAAATCTTATCTAAATAAAAACACCAAAAAACCAGAAAGATTTTTAATATTCTAGACTACCTTGTACGTTCAGTGCCTAGAGCTAGAGCTATGGTAGACAACTTCTTGATCGAGTTTAATCTCAACTAAAATAAATACCAGTATTATTCACCCACAAATTTCATTACATACGTCAGAAAAATGTCATTGGCTGGGTCTGTCATATAGAACGATTTTTGGACCCTCCTCCCCTCTAAAACATTTAATACTTGGACTTTATCAACAAAATTTTAATTATTTGTTTAGTATTTTTCCGGATTAGGTTAATCCTAATTCTGAGCCAAGCGCAACTGCTAGGACAGACAAGGGGCCGAGCTCCGCGGCTAGAACAGGCAAGGGGCCGTGCGCTGCGGCCACATGGCATTGTCTAATTATGACCATTTGTAAAATATATGAACTCTTTATACATAAATGAAAGGAGGGGGGGGGGGGGGGCCAAATATCGTTCTCTGTCTAATTCTGCAATATGCGTGTTAGTAAATTTAACAATAATCTATTCAGACTGTTGGCGTGAATTGATCGTATCAAAGGGAAAGAATTTACTTAAACACTAAAACCTGGACGTCTTCGTTACGAAGTTCGTCGATCAGAACCGCGATGGGGTACAGCGAGTCATCTCCGTCGGCGGCCATAATTCTAAACTCTCTTTAATCTGAAACAATGAGTTAATTATTTTTAAATTAGAATAATAATTTTAAAATAAACGGAAAGTTTATACCAACAGCTTACCTTAAATTTCGAAAATGTTCTGGTATACGGACCCAAAAAAATTGTTTACTAAACTAGGTGGACCCTATATTTCGGTCTGAATTATTTCAGAAGGGGGTTTGTAAGTAATTATCGCGGTTGGGTGAGCGATATAATATTTTTTTCTGGTATTCTTAAAAGGCAACTCTTTGTATATCCGTAAAAATTACCCCAAAAATTGAAATATATGGTTAAAGAAAACTAAGGGAATTGGGGTCCGTCCTAGAGAATGATTTTTGGACCCCCCCTCCTATCAATTTTGTACATGGATCTTATATGTTAGAAATAGATATAATTGNNNGGGGAGGGGTGGGGGGGGGTCCAAAAATCGTATACTAGGACAGACCCGGAATTGATTTATTATCTTCAAAACAAATCAATTTCAAGATATGTATGGAGAATTATTAACAAAGAACACTTAAAATTCACGAATATTTCCGATTTCACAGGTGTGTGAGACTGTGAGTTTTAATAAAGGATTGATTCGGCTCTTACTTTATCCGAGAGGGAAAGTTCGATGAACATGAAGAAAAAAGACTTTTTGGTTTTGAAATAAATCATTTAAACAAAATTTAGGTAAGAGAATAATTCTTTATTTTGATTTAATTAAATTAGATCTTCAATTAATATCTTATATTTGCATCAAATAAATTCAAGTTTAAATAGTTTTTCTTCAATAAAACAAAGCCTTGAATCCTCTCTACTGCGCGATGCCGAGAAATTTTCTCAAATTGTGTCGTCTTATCTGCACAGCTGATCAATGTTTACTTTTTGATAAGTCCTTCACATAAAATTATTCGATTAAACGTTCCTGAAGACCTGAAAACACTGTTCGTTTTGGACTATTGTAACACTGATATAACAGACAGATTTTCATTCGCTTTTTTATTAAGAAAGAAACTTTAGGTACGCACGAATTTTCACTTACGGTAATGTCTCATACTTCTAAAATATACAGGGTATCCCACATCAAATTAGACCTCGTCAATGGGTCTAAATTACGATTTGGGGGACAAATCAGAAAATTGAAAAAGAATGAATCATTTTGAAATATTTAATATGGCTAATAGAATTTTTTAAAAAGAAAGTGCTAGATTTTCGAGTATTATGTGCGTATTTTGGCGTAAAGATTGGAGATAATCAATTATGATATATGACGCTCTCTGTATGCAATGAAAGTTCAAATTTCAAAATTATTCTTAAGGTGAATAATAGAAATTAACCTCAGAGCGTATAATGGAGTCGGATAGAGAGATTATCAAAAACTTTGGTAAGATTTTTGTTTGTGATTATAACTTAATGATGACGCTAATTTGATGGCAATGACGACGAAAATGAAGATAATTATAACCATGATGGCAATGATGGCAAAGATGATGATGATGATGATGACAAAGATGACAATGATAATGACAATGACAATAATGATAACAATAACGATGACAACGATGATGACAATGATGATGACCATAATGACGACAATGATTTTGACAATGATGATGACAATGATGATGACGATGATGATGACAATGATGATGACAATGATGATGACAATGATGAGGAAAATGATGAGGACAATGCCGAGGACAATGTTGAGGACAATGATGATAATGATGATGACAATGATAATGACAATGATGACAATGATGATGACAATGATGACGACATTTATGACAACATTGATGATGACAACAATGAAGACAAAGATACAATGATAATGATACAATAATTATGACCATGATACAATGACGATGATAAAATGATGATGACAATGAAAAGTGTTAAATCCTTACATTTTGTATATTTTAGGTGTTGTGCTATCCGAAGGAGTAACTGATGTTTGTAAACAGACTGCAAAACAGGTTTTTATTGCCAGGTAATTTTATTCCCCCCCCCCCCCCCTGCACTGATTCAAAGATCCCTCCCCTCTAAAATATTAGATTACGGCACATATTCTATATTTTTCTTTTACATTTTTCAAACTGACATAAAAACATATTTGACAGTATGCTCTAATATGTTAAAGGAGGATGGGAGATCTTTGAACCAGGGGATTTTTCCAAAAATCAACCACTATTAAACTTTGTTTTTAATTTTTTAGTGTGGCCACTTATGTTGTGTACAGAATATCAAAGAATATATATATTCGGTATAAGGTTAGTAACTTAACGTTAGTTTAATTTATTCCAACTAACGTATATTTTAATTTATTCCAAAAGAGTGAAGCAAAAAAAAATCTTCTCCCAATTAGAGAGAAATATTTTTACAAACCGAGGGATAATTATCCGAACATTTGCTTATATCTTCTAAATAATTAAACAAGACATTCTTACATATATATTATATATATTGCGTATGGGCGGCCAAACGGCTGGACCGATTGGGCTGAATTTTTTTTGGACACTCATGGGTGCCCGTGGAGTGTTACAGGCTATAAGTAAATCGAATTTTTTTTTTAATTTTTTAAAAACATTTCTTTCACGGATAACGCCGGGCCCTTTAGCTAGTGATGTATAAGTCAAAAGATAATTATATATTATCTTAAACCACCCACTTATTATTTTATTCAATTATACTCCTTTTAACTCTACATGTAATGTTTGTAACCTGTTGTTGTTTATCTCTGATTTAACCATGCAAAGTAGTTTAATTCAATCCAACAAAAAAACCTACTTTTCAGGGTATTTGAAACATTTTCAAATAATATTTAACCTATTGCAGGTAAAAAACCTACTTTTCAGGTATTTGAAACATTTTCAAAAAATATTTAACCTATTCCAGGTAAAGCAAGCTTCTAAAAGGTTAAGAAGAGAATTGGCTGAAGGGCAGATGCTCGTGCAAGAGTCTGTTCACAGGTTAACATGATGTAACTGTTGTCTACCTCTTTCAATTCATATTTCATTGATTTATCTCTATAAGTTCATCATTAACTATTTTTTTCAATTCTTATCTAATTACTTTTTTTCCATCAAACGATAGTCTTTTTCCCCAGCCCCAACCAGACCTAATTTCAATCATAAAAATGCTATAGCTGTACCTTTTAAAGATAATTATCCAAAGCTTTTTCAATATCGATTGTTAACTGCTAGTCTCAACCTTTCCCTGTCCGCTTGACCCTTCCCCTGTCCTTTCAGTCTCAATCCTTTCAATGTCCTTTCCCTACCCTTTCAGACTGTCCTGTCTCTTCCACGGTCTTTTCAGTTTCAATCGTTTCCTTTTCCTTTCAGTTTAAATCCTTTCCCTGTTTTTTCATTTTCAATCCTTTCCATGTCCTTTCAGTTACAATTTTTTCCCTGATCTTTTGGTGTCAAAATCCTCTCTCTGTCCTTTTAGTTTCAATCATTTCCCTGTTCTTTAAGAAAATCCTCTTCCGGTCCTTTCAGTTTCAGTCCTTTACCTGACCTTTCAGGCTCAATCCTTTTCCTTTTAGTCTAAATCCTTTCCCTTTCCTTTCAGAATCATCTTTTCCCTGTCGTTTCAGTTTAAATAATCTCGTTTTTTGTCGCAAGCCTTTTTTATGACCCTTTTCGTTTCAATTACTAAGAATTTAAGGTTTGTCTTTATTTTAATTTAAGTTTATTTTTTCAATTTTGACAACTTTTATTTTCATAACTTTGAAAAGCTTCAAACACAGTGTAGTACAGTGAACATTGATCTTTAAAACATATTTTTGTCAGAAAGCATAATGCTTTGAGTTTGTTTATTTCTTAAAATTTTATTCTCGTGTTGCTTGCTTCTTTGTATTCAAATTTTATAATGTAGATGGAGAGAATCCTCTGAATATGCTGAACTATCTAAAATGTCCTCTTTGCCCCTGGAGAAGTTTATTCTATCGTTGACATTTGAATCTCTAGTCGAGAAGTTGCAAAAAGGTAAAAAGTGGACACTGATGACCAGAAAACCTTGGAATTGGAAGACGACATTATAGAAATACTAATTGATGTTGTTACATAGCAAATAAACTTACTGAATACTTATTAAATCCTTAGTTAAGTGAATTTGGTTTCTTTATACTGCTCAATTCTGTGCCTCATGCTGTTTGGACTTTTTAAAGTTATAAATTGATTCTAAAAGTTGTCTTCCTATTACAGAGGTTTCTGATTCTCACTGTACCATTTTGAAAATTTGATTATGAATGCAGATTTGATTTATATAATTTTGTATTCTCCCAGATTGCTAAAAGCGATTCTTGAGTCTAGACATGATTGAAGGAACTTTGATGTCAGATTTTCGACATGATTTAAGGAACTTTGACATCAGATTCTTGACATGATTGAAACAACTTTGACTTCACATTCTCGACATGACTAAAGGAACTTTGACGTCAGGTTCTCGACATTATTGAAGGGAATTTGACATCAGGTTCTCGACATGATTTAAAGAGCTTTGACGTCAGATTTCGACATGATTTATGGAACTTTGACGTCAGATTGTTGCCATGATTCAAGGAAATATTTGACCTCAGAATCAATGAATAGCAAGAAGTAGTTAAATAATGTAAGAGAGATACGTAGTTAGACTATTCAGTCTAGTTTTCAACTTCATACTTCTTAAAATTCGACCATATGTTTACTTTCACTTAAAAGCAAGGAGTTAATTTCCCCAGCAAAGTGGATCAAAAATGGTCTGGATACCTTTAATAGTTTTGTCATTGTTATAAAGTAAATGATGTGAATCATTGATGGCTTTCTGTCAATTGTATTTGTCAAAAACTATGTTAAATGCAAAATATTATTTTTATCATTAAATCATTTTATCTATTGAACAGGTGAATTAACCGCCTTCTCTGTTCTAAAGTCCTATCAGGCCAAGGTAAGATAAAGACAATATAATGAATGAACTACGCGCCTTTGATTGATGCGCCTTTTATAATACTCAAATCTAAATAATCAAACCCATAAGTTCGAATTTTAATGTATTTTTTTCTTATTTTAATTTTGATTATTTTTTTGTTTCATAGTTGGTGGAAGGTTGAGCCAAACCAGATTAGATATAAACGATGGAGACCACTTTTTCAGTAAATATATTTCGACATTTTTATGATGTCCTCATCAGTACTATAGGTTGGGGAGACACTGATCATCATGATGTTTTTAATTTCTCATATTGGTGATTCTACATAGGCATTGGAACAACAGGTGCTAAATAACTGCATTGTTGGATGGGTGCTTGAGGCAGATAAAATTGCCAGGTACGTTTAAAGTTCCTAACCAAGGTCAATAAAGCGTTTTATCTCTCAAAGATTGGAAACTGAAACTCGTAAAGAGGCTGTTAGCTTAATTTCAATTTGTCTCTAAAATAGTGTCCAAATTGTCCATTTAAGATATTATGATACCTTCAATGTAGTTTATCAATGGTCCTTTTCATGTGGCTAGGGTTGTATAATGTATGGGTGTCATGGTTACTGTCATATAAAACGACTTGAAACCAAAAAATTAAGTTCAAAGTTCTGTCTTAAATTGTTAACCCTGTAGCATAAAATAAGCAAACAAATGAAAGTTAATAAGAAATGCAATATTTATATTCTAACAGTATTTTTAAACAAATTGATTTTTAAAACTAACCAAAGATGTTTTTAAATTGTTCAAGAAAAATTAGTCGTGTGTAAATTTTTCAAAGAGACGTTTAAAAAATTTGTCTTAATTGTTTCCAAACCTTCTAGGGATCTTGATGATGTTGCTGCTGAGAGCAGGAAACCATTTCATGGACTTCCAATCAGGCATCAAAATTATTTTTATCTTTCTCAATTTTTTACAGTCTTCACGTCATTCTTAAAATCGATTTTGACCAATCTTGTTATTTTGATCACATTTTTTAAAAATTGACAATATTAGTTCATTTGAATGATTTTATTTTGTTAAATAACATTTTTTTAAAAACCTCAAATTTTAAAAGCATTTTATCTTTGCAACCAGAAGTCGTAAAACTTTATATTTCAACACATCAGTTCCTCTTGTTCCTCTTTGGATCTTATTAATAAATTCTGGGAAAAAAACATTTGAGTTTGAAAAATAGTTTTTTCTTTAAAATAAGATGATTTTGTGATGATTAGCGTAAAAGAGTGTTTCTACCTGAAGAACACCTACAGTACTGGAGGCATGCTCACTTTTGTATCGGAGAAGGATGTCAAGAACTCACCAGCTGTTCAAACTCTTCTCAACCTAGGAGCTGTTCCTTTCTGTAAAACAAATGTCCCACAGGTAGTGATGTGCATTAAGTTGGATGGGGTTTGAGTAATCTCATTTTTAGGATGAAAATATTGTTTAAGAAAAGCAAACTGTAACAGAATACAGTTTTGAAATGTTAGGTTAGAAGTAATGCACTACAGTCCACCCATTCCCCCTTGCTTTTAAGCCTGATCAACTTGAAAGCTATGATTCTGCTTATACAAATATGAAACTCGGTAAACCTCCATCTGGAAAAGTTTACAAAGAAAGATAGTCTGCAGCAAAAACAATTGAGTAGATTCTCAAAAAGACTAGTTTTAATTTTTTTTTTGATAATGGACAGAATCAGGGACAGAAGTTATACCCAATCTGTAAAAGATTTATTAAAAATAATAAACTTTATAAAACAGTTTGAAATGTTGGAAATTTCAGTACTTAACAACACTTTACCCCCTTCGTCATTATAATATCTGTATGAAAAATATAAGATGACCTGCAGTGAGTGCATGATAATTTTTTTAAACTCCTTCAGGCTATGTACAGTATGGAGTGTACAAATCCTTTGTACGGTACAACTACAAATCCGCATAATCCTACGCGTGAGGCCGGAGGATCAAGTGGAGGTGAGGGATCTCTTATTGGAGGAGGAGGATCAATCCTAGGGATAGGAAGCGATATCGGAGGATCTCTCAGGTAACCTTTAAAGGGACTGTCGGCGTAATGTCAATTGTCATTCCCGTTAGAGAACATGAAAGATTCGGCACGTTGCCCTGGAAACCTTAATTTAAGTAATAATGAGGGGAAATCAATTCTGTCAATATTATGTCTCTGATACATCGGGGGATCTCTTCTGCAGTCCCACAATAACCTTTAAATTAAAGGAAATATATCGACGTAAATACAAACTTTTAAATTGAAGGAAATATCGACGTAAATACAAACTTTTAAATTAAAGGAAATATCGACGTAAATACAAATCTTTAAATTAAAGGAAATATCGACGTAAATACAAACTTTTAAATTGAAGGAAATATCGACGTAAATACAAACTTTTAAATTAAAGGAAATATCGACGTAAATACAAATCTTTAAATTAAAGGAAATATCGACGCAAATACAAACTTTTAAATTAAAGGAAATATCGACGTAAATACAAACTTTTAAATTAAAGGAAATATCGATGTAAATACAAACTTTTAAATTAAAGGAAATATCGACGTAAATACAAATCTTTAAATTAAAGGAAATATCAACGTAAATGCAAACTTTTAGATTAAAGGAAATATCGACGTCAATACAAACCTTTAAATTAAAGGAAATATCGACGTAAATACAAATCTTTAAATTAAAGGAAATATCGACGTAAATGCAAACTTTTAAATTAATGGAAATATCGACCTAAATAAAAATCTTTAAATTAGAGGAAATATCGACGTAAATACAATCTTTTAGATTAAAAGAAATTGCGACGTAAATACAAACCTTTAAATTATAAAGGAAATATCGACGTAAATACAAACCTTTAAATTGAAGGAAATATCGACGTAAATACAAACCTTTAAATTAAAGGAAATACAAGTTGATCTCGGGTTACATGTCAGCCATTATCTAAGTTACAATCCTCGTTTTTCAATCTTGAAAAAAATCCATTCTTGACATGAAAGAACTTCTGCTGCTTAAAGTAGTAAATCACTTCTATAGATGTTTAAGCTATTTAAAATAGGTAGTTTAATAGTAAAAAACAAAGGCCGAATTTAATGAATTTGAGCCGTGGCTTCAGTTTGAGACGCAACTCAAATATGATTGATCCCACTGAAAATTGTATTAAATGTTTCAAGAGTTAAACCGGCGCTCAATTGAAACCGGGTTTTGGCGGATTTGAGACGCGGTTCAAATCCATTAAATTCAGACTCAGGAATAATTTCATCATTTTTGCGCCTTCAATGGTTTAAAGGGTGCCGTTGTGAATCAGGTATGTAACTCGCAAAATGTTGCATCTTGAAATTACGTCGCTAATCTATTTTATAATTTCTCGTCGTGTTTAATTCTGAAAATGAACAAATAGAATTGTTTTTATTAGAAATCCTGCTGCCTGCTGTGGAATATACTCGATGAAACCTACAATTGGAAGACATCTATCCTACATGGTAGATAATTATTTATGTAATTAATTTTTCATTAAATTATTTTAATTAAAATATTTGATATTATATATCTATTTCAAATATTATTATTATAATTTAACAGACAACCCTAGCATTGGGCGAAATAGCTGGGTCGGCGCTCCTAGCCGCCGAAACGTATCCATGGGTCCCTCGGTCCACGGTTCCCTGGGGAGAACTTCTTAAAGTTGTTTGAAAAAAGGGTTTAAAAATTGATATTTTAAGGAACCGGAAAATTTCAAGTCACCCTTCATTAAAAGACTCTTTAAATATTTGTTTGATAAAGAATTTCTTAGATATTCTTACTTTTTTTAATGTGGCCGGAAACTCTGTGCCTGTACACCGCTATACTGTACATTAGCACGGAGTGTACACTATCCTTGCTCGGACAAAGGTTATAGAGTACCTTTGTAAATCAGACATACCAAAGTGCAGATACAGGGTTGAGGCTTGGAGTAATGGCTCACCCCTAAAGCATGGGGGAGAGCTACGAAACGTGGAGGGAAAATTCTGAGTTGGATCACCCGAGTAAATTCCTGTATCCGCTCATGGACAACGGACATGCCACTCTAAAAATGGCGGGTCAATTGAAATTACTAAGCTACAATCCGTTTAAGTAGAGTGATTTATCATGTATATCTAGGATGTTGTACCTACAGCAGGCCCAGATCCAGCTGGAATGCAGGCTATTGGAGGATTTATGTCTAGTTCTCCTACTGCTCTTCTTTATGCATGGAAGTACGTTTTTATAACATACACTAGCAGGTGAAATTACAGGGTTTAGGAGCTTTTTTTGGAGAAGTATAAACTATGAAAAATTGAACGAATGTCTAAAAGGTAAAGGCTCCTTAAGGTTTTAATACGCCCCTGTATGTTATATATTATATTTTTTATTAAGCATTCTTTTTTTTGAAAAAGTTCGCCAAATTGTCTGACTCCAAAAAACTTGGTTAAGTTCTTTTACAGAGAAACCTCAGATGAAAACAAACAGTTTAAAAAAATCAAAATATGCATATTTAATTCACACTTGGTTAGACAAGGCTTTGCACGAAGGGTTATTTGGCTCTTCATGCAAAGATAAAAATGTTCAATTTACTGTAATATTGTTATAGAGAACTGTGGAATATTACAGACTCCAACAATTCCCAGCGTAATGATGCATCTATTGCGCCGGTTAGGTTCAATCAAGGTAAAATTTATTCTGGAAATCATGGTGTATTTTTATGAACAGTCTCTTGAATGAGAACCATCAAACTGTTGAATAAGATTCAAGTTCTGATTTTAAATTGCTTAATATACTCTGCCGTGTGCAGGGTGTATCTATTCAATATAATACGACGAATTTTTGTGAAATTACAAAACAAAATGTCCAGTAACTTGGTTACATAAAATGTCTTCTATTCTTTATCTTTTTATTTTTTTAGTTCTCACAACTTATGGAATTATTAAATACTAGCGGAAGTGCCTGGCGTTGCCCGTGTAGTTTTTAAAAAATCGAGAGAAAAGTTTTTTATCCTATGTTAACCCCATTCGGTTGAGCAGTTTGGCCAGCTCTGCTTTTAGCTAACATATGCATATAAATATATATAAATATATTTATATGAGCGGAGAGCTTTACTTTTTGGATGACCTTTGTAAAATGTTCACAAATAACTGGTACTCAATGTATTATATTAAGAAATGTTTGAGAAGAAAGTGAAGATTGGTTTCTTCTTCTCCGACGGATTGCACGAGGCTGTTCCTGCAGTTAAGCGAGCTGTTCTTCAAGCAGTTAAAGTACTTAAGAGCTATAATTACGAAGTTATTGCTTTCCCTCCACCGGATATAAAGGTAGTTTGGTTTCATCCTCCAATTGATATAAAGTAGTTGGTTTCTCCCTCCATCTGATATACATGGAAGTTTGGTTTCATCCTTCACCTGATATAAAGTAGTTTGGTTCCTCGCTCCACCTGATATACAGGTAGTTTGGTTTCTCCCTTCACCTGATATACAGGTAGTTTGGTTTCATCCTTCACCTGATATAAAGTAGTTTGGTTTCTCCCTCCACCTGATATACATGTAGTTTGGTTTCATCCTTCACCTGATATAAAGAAGTTTGGTTTCTCCCTCCACCTGATATACAGGTAGTTTGGTTTCATCCTTCACTTGATATAAATTAGTTAGGTTTCTTCTTCCGCCTGGCATAAAGGTAGTTTGGTTTCTCCCTCCACCTGATATACAGGTAGTTTGGTTTCATCCTTCACCTGATATAAAGGTAGTTAGGTTTCTCCCTTCACCTGATATACAGGTAGTTTGGTTTCATCCTTCACTTGATATAAATTAGTTTGGTTTCTTCCTCTTCCTGGCATAAAGGTAGTTTGGTTTCTCCCTCCACCTGATATAAAGTAGTTTGGTTTCTCCCTCCACCTGATATAAAGTAGTTTGGTTTCTTCCTCAGCCTGGCATAAAGGTAGTTTGGTTTCTCCCTTCACCTGATTTAAATGTAGTTTGGTTTCTTCCTCCACCTGATATAAAGGTAGTTTGGTTTTACCCTTGCTTCTTTTCATATAATCTTGATGTGAGATATAAGTTTAACTTCTTCTCAAGGCACTATCGGCCACAATATAGAAGTAGTAAATATATCTTTACCTACCAACTACTTATCGCTACTAACTAATTCAGATCTTTGAACGTACTTTAAGTTTTAAGTATCATTGATTCTGAACATATATTTAAGGAAGTTCTCTATCTGTTCAATGGATTAATAATGGCGGATATCAAAACTTTTGAAGGTTACATGTCCTGGGAGGTGGAATCTACTGCGCTTAGGTACTCATTTGTCCTCACCATTTTTATTTTTTATTTTCGGAGAGTTTTATTCGAAATTTTTAAATAGAAAAGTTTGTTAATTTTATTCTTTATACTCTTCATGTTTCCTGTTGATTTTGGTAGGGGTTCGTCCTAGATTTCTACGAAATTATGGTTGACTGAGCTGAAAACTTTAGAATGAGATATCCTTAATCCCGATCACTTAATCTGAGTATCCAATGGACAAACTTTCTTGGATATAGTAGAGAAAAATCAAAAACCGGTTTTTTAAATTAGAGAACCCTCCCGCTTCTGTATATTGATGTAAAATGGCGCGCAAAACTTCAAATTTATCGACTTCTAACACGCGACTCTGATTGTTTGAATTTTATACACTCTTCAGGATAAAAGTACAGGATTAGATTAGTCTCGATATTAAAAAAACGAAAGGATCAAGCATTAATCTCAATATCCACCAATCTAAAGTTTTCAGCTCTGGTTATTTTTATTGCTATATTTATCAGTATTGTTCATATGTTTATTATTATTATCATGATATTCCAAATATAACAAGCTTATATGCGGGCATATTAAAGAATATCTGAACCACTTGTATCTCCATAGATTACCTTTGAATATTATTTCAGTGGGATTGGGTTAACCCTCATGATGTTTAAGATACCCCGGCTAATCAGGTATTTCAAGAAAATATTTTAACTTTTTTTAATTGGTGATTTTTTTTTTTACTGCAACAGATTTAAAATGAAAAAAGTCTAATGTCATGTAAATGTTGGAAAATGGTGTTCGGAAGACACCAGGATTTTATTATTTAAAATCTTAAGATTATATTATTTTTGGGTTTATTGTGATAAGAACCAATTTTCATATTATGTTTTCTTGATGAAAGCATAAGAAAAATATTATTTTTTTGTCGCTTAAAAAATCCTGATCCAGTAAACGGTTTCATTTCTAATGTCTAGGAAACTGCTGATAGATCCAATACTGTCCTACCTGACCAAGATTCCACCTATGGAACATCTCTTTACATCTTCACATGATATCTATAAAGGACTTCAGGTACATTTTTTCATTTTTTTAGGTCTTTAACTTTTTTTAGAGCTTAGGGATTTTTGGTTCGTTTTTTGCAATTGTTTTGAAAACATTTGCCCTTCTAACACTAAGCGAAATTAAAACTCTGACAAAAAAAATGCAATAAAAAAGAACCAACTTTTGCTGTTTGGTTTTCCTCGAAACTACCCAAACTATTGAATAGTCCCTTTAGGGTTAACTAGAATTATGTATTTGTTAAGATGAAAGGAGAAATGAGTCAAAGATACTTGAGTATGATGGAGGATGCGGGGGTGGACGTTATCATCTCACCCGGACAGGTTCATCTTGTTCTTCGTATTCTTCATGTTCTTTTTCGTAAAGTTCTTCATGTTCTTGTTCTTATGTTCTTGTTTTTCATGCTCTTGTTATTCATGCTATTGCTATTCATGCTATTGTTTTTCATTTTTTTTCCTTAGTTTTGGACTCTGGTGATCTTGATCTTGATCTTGATCTTGATCTTGATCTTGATCTTGATCTTGATCTTGATCTTGATCTTGATCTTGATCTTGATCTTGATCTTGATCTTGATCTTTGTTTTGATCTTTGTTTTGATGATTGGGTTTTTATTCTTGGTTTTCTTTTTCTTGATGTTCTTATCCTTGGTGTTCTTATCCTTGGTGTTCATATCCTTGGTGTTCTTATCCTTGGTGTTCTTATCCTTGGTGTTTTTATCCTTGGTGTTCTTATCCTTGGTGTTCTTATCCTTGATGTTATTATCCTTGGTGTTCTTGTCATTGGTGTTCTTGTCATTGGTGTTCTTTTCCTTTGTGTTCTTGTCATTGGTGTTCTTATCATTGGGGTATTGGTGTTCTTATTCTTGGTATTCTTATCCTCGGTGTTATTCTCATTGGTGTTCTTGTGATTGGTGTTCTTGTCTTTTGTGTTCTTATCCTTGGTTTTCTTGTACTTAGTGTTCATGTTCTTTGTGTTCTTAGTGTTTCATTCTTGTTTGAAAACAAGATTGCGTCTGAGTAAAATCTAAAATAATAAATTAATAATTGATCTAGATGTTCCCAGCCCTACCCAGCTACGAGGCGGGTCAATTTATGCCTGTTATTCTGCCCTATATACCCTGGAACCTACTCAATATGCCGGCTGGGGTTGCACCTGTCACTAAGTATAAACAATTTTGAAATTTTCTAAACATCATACAGTAACTCCCATAAAACGTTGGAATAGGAAGAATAGTCTTACCAGTAGTAGTTGGAAAATCAATAGTTAATTGAAATAAATACACTGTACTGTTCATTGGACTAAATTAAGTCTAACAGTCGCTTGGTGTGGTATTTTAGGGGGGGGGGGGAGTGACTAGTTCTAGTCACAATATTCATATTTAAATTCATTGTCTTGTGTTTCATGGTGAGAATGGACAAAATGAATATGTTCTGATAGTCGTTTCATTTACAAACATTTTATTAATTGTAGCTTGCATTGAATATAATAATTTCAATTTATGATTTCTTTTCCCATCCATACATTTATCCTTGAATGGATATTGTAAACCCGCAATATATTTATATGTCGTCTTTGTTAAAAAGAACTATTTCGGGAAAAAGCACATACTTTATAGCAAAATTACAAGAAAGCACTTTGGGTTCGGGATAATCTAAATAGTTTCTATAACAGCCATATAGAAAAGATTTAGGGGCGTCGGCAGCGCGCCAAAACCTTGATTTAGTCAGAGATAGCGTGTTGAAAAATCCAGGGGTGTATAAAATTCTTCCCCCCCCCCCCCCTGGGAGGGGGAAAGAAATCAAAGACCCAATAGGAGGGAAAGGGAAGGAAAAAGGGAAGGAGATATGTAGGAGGGAAGGAGATACGTAGGGATGGAAGGAGATATGTAGGGAGGGAAGGAGATATGTAGGGAGGGAAGGAGATATGTAGGGAAGTTGGAAAATAGGGAAAGGGAAAAGTAGGGAATGGGAAGGTTGGGAAGGAAAAAGGAAGGTATGGAAGCTGAAGGAGAATGGGAATTGTAGGAAAGTGAACAGGAAAGTTTGGCAGATAAGGAAAGAAAGGGGAATTTAGGGAAGTGAAGGGTTGGAGCTCTTTACCTCTTCATTTTTAACTTTCTCGTGAAACCAGACAATTTTTCACGAATAATTTTCCCCTATGCTTTTAATGCAGCATTATAAATTTTCAAATTCAAAAAAAGTTAATTTTTTTTTGAGAACTTGAGAGTAAACACCCCCAACTAATATAATGGGAAATGATTACATAGAAAAAAATACTCCTGGACTGACAAATAATCAATCACAACTTCTATGCCAGTGCCACAATACCAAAAGTTAGAAAAAAATGTCATGCGGTACCATCTATGCAAAATGCATCCTGACGGGTTTTATTATGTACTGCAGTATAAATCTTTATCTTCCTATTCCACAACTTTACTGGTCCCAAACGGCTTTGCAGATGTTCACATTTTTGGTGGGCAATTTATGGTCTGCTAAAAACGGTTAATTTTATTGTGCACTAAACAAAAGTTATATCTGAAATCCGGTAAGTTTTTTGTCATTAAAGTTCAACCCAAAAAGCCAAAGTATATGAAGAAAAGGAAGGAGCTCATTGAATGTTTAGGGTTTGTAAAATGTTAATCATCAGTTTTTTTTAATTTTCAAATTTTTTTGGGAATTTATTGATGAAAGTTTATAAGGAGATATTGATTGTTAAGTTTATGTACAATTTGAATTAAATCTGAACTGATAAATGATTTTAAAGTGCTGATGATATAAAACCGACCGAAGTATGAAATGTTAAAACCATTGTCACTGTATCCTTATTCAACCGGCTTTAATTTTAGTTAAATGTTTGAAAGTCACAAAATGGTGTACTAAAATTCGATTAAGTAAACAGACATACTCGGCTGCACTTCTAAGCCTCATTAAGCAATTATTTAAAATTACTTTTCCAATATACAATTTATTTAATTTATAAAAATGGTTAATGAAGAGGTAAAGTAAATCTTGTGGGGGTTGACATGCAACTTTTTTAATAAAGGGTCACTTGAAATTACGTCTAGTCATTAAAAAGCTTTCGCATCTTTATATTTATTGACTAAATAAAATCCATTTTAAAATTAGAAAAAAATAAAGCGTCAAGACTAAGGTTGGAAAATCGAGATTGTATTGACAGTGAATAAAAGATAATTAACGATTAACTAATTGTTTATAAATTGTAAGTATTGAGAGGAAAAGGTTTGAGGCCCATTGTTCTTTTTTTAATCTGAGATTTACATATCTTTTCTCAAAATTATAATCTTGGACAAGTTTGCTGTTATTTCATTGTGCAATATGTTTACTCCCGTATCTAATAAACAAAGTGATTTCAACGCCAAAAAACCCTTCAACTGTTTAAAAACTTACCTCCCACCGATGACCATCTCTGATTTTAAGGTATACTCAAGCAGATAGTGAAGCTATGCGTGAATATCCATCTACCGACTTTGTGTACAGATCTATTCATAGGTAGCTTTAGATTATTCACCTACTGTATTATTTTAAGTTGATATATGATTGATGATACCCAACATCTTCTTTTTTCTTATTTAAACAATCTGGCTCTCAGAAGGCTTCACATTATTCCAAAATCGTATTTTTACATCGCTCTTTACTTCGTTTTAAATTAGGATTTGGCATAATTTTTAGTTTTAAAGGGAGTAACCCTTCTATGTAAGGCAGTTGAACTGAGTATGCAGTGTTGTGGAAAACTTCTTTCGGATTCATTTGAGACATATGAAACTTTTTAAAGATCTGTAAATCCTGAGTTTGAGCGCAAATTCGACGTTCAAAACTCCTACCTTGGAGGTGGATACGTTTTCAGAATTAGTTTCAACACTACATACTCAGTTCAACTACCTTACATTGCCGGTCACCCCTTTTAAGGCGAAGATTTTTATAAAGCCATCAAAGAGCCAAAAACGGATGAATTAAGATGCCCTAAACTAACCCTTTGATGAAGGGGGAGGCTTCACTGCCTCTGCCGCTCATGCATGCCTTGCAATCAACAAAATGGTTCCGACCCAACTCATTACTTTGTTATGACATACAAAGTTATTATTTTATTTTGTAATACTGTTATTTTCATATTTTCTAACTCATTTTATCAATTAGATTCTGTGAAGGTGCGACTTATCTCCCTCTTGCAGTTCAGGTAAAGTCATTTTTAGTTTAAAGTGAGATAAAAGTCTTTGCCACAAACTATAATTTTCTAATCCCTATATTTTTGCAACCCAATGTCGTAGTCAGTACACCTTAAATATTTTAAACTATGAAGTCTGTTAGATCAATTAATATAAGTTGAATTATCACTATGATTACACTATCAGGTTGAATTGATTTAGGGATTAGAAATTTTAGTTTGTGGGTAAGACGCAATTCCTTTCTGAAAAAAGCTTAAGGTTTTATAATTTGTGACTATTATAACTTACGTATAGAGCACATTTTTAGAGTTAAAACCGTTAAAAAGTTTTTAAAAAATCCTGAGCTCTGTACTAAAAGTGATAGTATATATGAAGGTTTTAAAGGAGTTTTTTAAAGATCAGGTTTCTAAATAAGGTTTTTAGGAATGGGTTTTGTAATGCGGTTTTTATATCGTTCATCAGGTTTTAGATAAAATTCTAGATAAAAGAAAAGGTTTCGGAATACGGTGTCTAGATTAGGTTTCTATACTTAGTAAAACTATAAGGTTTCTAGATTAGGTTTCTAGATGAACATTTAACAGATCATATTTTTAGAAAAAAAATTATGCATAAAGTTCGTTGAAATGGATTCTAAATTAGAGTTTAAGATTTGAAATTTGTTCCAGGTGGTGGCTAGACCTTTTCATGAGGAGCAAGTTTTGCAAGTTCTTGAGGTTCTTCATAGGAACTCTTCAACTGTCTGATGATTGATGTTTTCCATAGGAACTCTTCAACTATCTGATGATTGATGTTCCTCATAGGAACTCTTCAACTGTCTGATGATTGATGTTCCTCATAGGAACTCTTCAACTATCTGATGATGGATGTTTTCCATAGGAACTCTTCAACTATCTGATGATTGATGTTTTCCATAGGAACTCTGCAACTGTCTGATGATTGATGTTCTTCATAGGAACTCTTCAACTGTCTGATGATTGATGTTTTCCATAGAAACTCTGCAACTGTGTGATAATTGATGTTTTCCATAGGAACTCTTCAACTTTCTGATGATTGATGTTTTCCATAGGAACTCTTCAACTATCTGATGATTGATGTTCTTCATAGGAACTCTGCAACTGTCTGATGATTGATGTTTTCCATAGGAACTCTTCAACTTTCTGATGATTGATGTTTTCCATAGGAACTCTTCAACTGTCTGATGATTGATGTTCTTCATAGGAACTCTGCAACTGTCTGATGATTGATGTTTTCCATAGGAACTCTTCAACTATCTGATGATTAATGTTCTTCATAGGAACTCTCCAACTGTCGGATGATTGATGTTTTCCATAGGAACTCTTCAACTATCTGATGACATAGGAACTCTTCAACTATCTGATGATTGATGTTTTCCATAGGAACTCTTCAACTGTCTGATGATTGATGTGCTCCATAGGAACTCTTCAACTGACTGATGAATGATGTTCTTTATAAAAACTCTTCAACTGATTGTTAATTTATTGAGTTTAGCTTCGCTAGTCTATTTAGTGCTGTCATAAAGTAATATTGTGCCGCAAAGCAAAAATTCCATTCCAAATCTTTTGTCTAATTGTCACCCTTTTACTTTTCTATATTGAGGAACACATGGCATTAAATAAATGTCCTAAATAATTAATGAAGTCAGACCACAAATTTTTAATCAATCTTATTATCATGTAAAGGAACAGACCGGCTATGTATAATTACTGAGTTTGAGCGCAAAGTCGACGTTCTAAATCATGAATTTGGGTGGGTACGTTTTCAGAATCGATTTTTTTTAAATTATTAAATAACGACGACGAAAAATATAGTAAAAATTCTTTAGTAAACTAATTAGATGTTTAGGAACATATTTCTCAAAAGAAATTTGTCAAGTTAGAATTGATTATTTCCTTTTTCATCATTATATTGAATTTCTTATTCTCTATGAATTTGTTCGCAGATTTCTTCAAATTCTGCAAATGTCGTCTTTTAAATAAAAATTCCAGAAAATCTGCAGAAAATCTTTGTGATTAAAGAGAGGTTATAGAAAGTAAAAATTGAATGATTTTTATTAACAACTACAATTTAGTTTACTGTAGAATTTTGTTTACATTTTTTGTCGTCGTTATCTGATAATTAAAAAAAACTAATTCTGAAAACATTCACCCAAAATTACGATTTTGAACGTCGACTTTGCGCTCAAACTCAGGATTTTAAGATCTTTAAAAAATTTGTCCACAATACTACATACTCAGTTTAACTATCTTACATAGCAGGCCTGTCCCTTTAAAAATTATTTATTTGATTACTTCCAGATATTTTTTTTCTTGTTTTCTGTATTTATGTATTTAATAAGGTTTCCAACGCCGCAAGTGTATTTTACTTGCGCGCAATTGCGGACCCGTTAATTTCCTCGCAATTCCGCGCAACGGAATTCTGACTGGAAACCGTAGTATATATCCTTACATTTTTTCACTAAGCATTTAATTTATCATTGTTGTCCTAATTTTGGTTTGAAAGAGCAATAAGTAATCTTAACATATTTACACAAATCATTTATTTTATGTGCTCAAAACTATTCATATAGCATAATATAATATAATATATAAGGTATAATATTTTTATAAATTCTGAGGGTTAGATTTTTTGTATTAGTCTTGTAATTTTCCTTTCTTTTGTATTTCATCTTTTATTTAATTGTTTTCATGAAAATACAGGAAACTAAATCCAGACAGGAACCTTAACAAAATATTATTATACAATTGCATCAAGTGATTAGTTTACAATCGCATTGAGGGATTAGTATACAACTTTATTGAGAGATTAGACTACAACTTAATTGAGCTAATAGAATACAATTTTATTGAGGGATTAGTATACAACTTTATTGAGGGATTAGTATACAACTTAATTGAGGGGTTAGATACAACTTTATTAAGGGATTAGTATACAACTTTATTGGGGGATTAGTATACAACTTAATTGAGGGGTTAGATACAACTTTACTGAGGGATTAGACTACAACTTAATTGAGGGATTAGTATACAACTTAATTGAGGGATAAGTATTCAATTTTATTGATGAATTAATATACAACTTAATTGAGGGATTGGTATACATTTTAATTGAGGGATTAGTATACAACTTTATTAAGGGATTAGTACACAACTTTACTGAGGGATTAGTATTCAATTTTATTGATGATTTAGTATACAAATTTATTGAGGGATTTATTTAGGGATTAGTATACAACTTTATTAAGGGATTGGTATACAACTTAATTGAGGGATTAGTATACAACTGTATTAGGGATTAGTATACAACTTTATTGATGGATTAGTATTCAATTTTATTAATGATTTAGTATACAAATTTATTGAGGGATTTATTTAAGGATTTGTATACAACTTTATTAAGGGATTAGTATACAACTTAATTGAGGATTAGTATACAACTTTATTGAGGGATTAGTATTCAACTTTATTGGGGGATTAGTATTTAATTTTATTGAGGGATTAGTATACAACTTTATTAAGGGATTAGTATGCAACTTAATTGAGGGATTAGTATACAACTTTATTGGGGGATTAGTATACAACTTTATTAAGGGATTAGACTACAACTTTATTGAGGGACTAGTATTTAATTTTATTGAGGGATTAGTATTCAATTTTATTGAGGGATTAGTATACAACTTAATTGAGGGATTAGTATACAACTTTATTGGGGGATTAGTATACAACTTTATTAAGGGATTAGACTACAGCTTTATTGAGGGATTAGTATTTAATTTTATTGAGGGATTAGTATACAACTTTATTGAGGGATTAGAATACAATTTTATTGATGAATTAGTATACAACTTAATATTAGTCTACAACTTATTGAGGGATTAGTTGTTAGGCCTTATGTCTAATTAAATGATAAATGACTGGGTTTGAAATGTTTATTGAAAACTTATTCAGAATATATGCGAGCGTTATTAAAGGGTAAAGTTATGCTGCAGGAGAGCTGGTATAGATGAATCCTAGAACCCGGAGCCTAACTCTAGTGCAGAATTGCATTGATGGATTGCAAATTCAAATTATTTAGCAATTTCAGATTATTTAGAAAGAATTAATCTAATTTTGAAGATTTACCTAAGATTGACCAGCCCAGCAGGAGACCCAGCATTCCTCCCACCTCACCGATTAGATTCAGCTCAGTCATCAGGTAATACTCCTTAATTAGGGATTAGATTCAGCTCAGTCATCAGGTAATACTCCTTAATTAGGGATTAGATTTATGATTTGTTTGATATTAATTTGATTTTTTACGGTCTAAGTCGTATGTTCCAACTTCCTCAATTTGTATGGGCGCTACGCTCTTCGGTATGAGACGTCTTTATCAATTTTCTCCTTATAGACGCAACAGATAGAAGTAAGATTAGTAGCGATCTAAAGCGTTTTTTTATCGCATTAAGCCTATACCCCCTTTCATTTTTCGCGAACACTCTCTTTAATTAAGGATTTTAAGTCATCATGATTCGGAGTTTGTGTGGACTCAAAAGTTGTTTGGCGAGGTTCAGATGTCATTCTACAAATTTGGTTATTTGGAGATCATTTCGCTGGGTTCATTGCACAAGGTCTACAATTGACAATGACAGTTGATCTAAAGACAATTTAAAAGGTTGTTTTTGTTATTTGAAAAGGAGAAATTTTTATCAAAAAGTTTGCACGACATATATAACAAGCTTTAATGCATATTACGATTGTTTTCTTTCGGCTGTTAACTTCGAGTCTTCCATAGAGAGATGTTATAGATGAGTCATTATATGGATATCTGCTCAGCGAGCATCTAGAAAAATCAAGAATTAAGTTTTGAAACGTAAGTTTAAGCTTTTCCTTACTTCAATCTCCAACCTCTTGAAATACATCTTGGCAGACATTTTCCATCATCATTGTCAAACATTTGCAGAATTGCTTGGTCGAATAGTTTGTTCCTTTTTATCCCTTCCTCTGGAGTGTCACATTCTCTAAAGAACAGTTATTAAAATTCTTGATTTACGCACTCCAATTATTGGACAGGGACTGCATAATTCTTCTTCTCATCATTCTTCTTCTTATTCCTTTTTTTCTTTTTCTTCTGTTGACTTTCTTCGATTCTGGATTTTTCACAGCATGTTCTGATACAGAGATTCATATTTTTTTCTAACCAATTCTCAATAATTTTGCTCAAAGACCAGTTTAATTTAAAATGGTTTCTTTTAGTTTTTTTTCTCTGAAGCTTGAACTTACTTATTTTTACGTCTGAGCAAGAAGTTGTAAATTTGGTTATGTCTATGGAAAATTTATTATCATTTTACAATCTTACTCTTTTTTGTATGCAAACCCTTGGTCAGATGTAAAGGGTATTGAAAGGGGGTATAGGCTTCCGGCAAAAATAAGCGCTTTTGATTGCTACTAATCTTACTCCTATCTGTTGCGACTATAAGGAGAAAATTGTTAAAAATGACTCATACTCATACTCATAATGAGGAATGTAGCGTCCATGCAAATTAAGATTGATTGAAGTAAGATTAGTAGCGATAAAAAGTGCTTATTTTTCGCCATAAGCCTGTACCCCTTTCATTTTTTGCGAACACTCCCTTTAAAACACTTGCTGGTGGTATTCTTGTTGTATGTATAGCAAATTTGAAAGTTCTAATTTTTTAAGTAAAACATTCATAGAGTAATGTTGATCCGCTCTACTGCCCATCCTCTATACTGCCCATCTGACCTACTCCAACATCTGACCTACGACAGCTGTAGTTTGGATGGGCATATCTTCTTGCCCATCTGACCTATTCAGCAGCTTGTCATGCCTATAGCTCAGTATGATAGAAATAATTAATTGTAGCTGTCGGATGGCTACTCAATTTTGTAGGTCAGATGGGCACTTTTTGTAGGTCGGATGGGCATTTTTCGTAGGTCGAATGGGCACTTTCCGTAGGTTGGATGGGCACTATTTGTAGGTCGGATGGGCACTTTTCGTAGGTCGGATGGGCATTTTTCGTAGGTCGGATGGGCAATTTTCGTAGGTCAGATGGGCAATTTTCGTAGGTCGGATGGGAATATTTCGTAGGTTGGATGGGCATCGTATCGTATGGGCACTTTTTGTAGGGGGGCCGAGCGCTTGCAGCCATGAAAGACCTTTAATTTTAACAATTTTTAATAAAATTAGTGTATATTTAAGGTTAGGTTAATTGTTAAGCTCATTTCTGGGCCGAGCGCTGCGGCTAGGACGGGCTAGGGGGCCGAGCGCTGCGGCCATGAAAGACCTTTAATTCATCAATTTTTAATAAAATTAGTGTATATTTAGGGTTAGGTTAGGTTAAGCTCATTTCTGGGCCGAGCGCTGCGGCTAGGACAGGCTAGGGGGCCGAGCGCTGCGGCCACATGTCTGGGCTGACAGCTACGAAAAATGCCCATCCGACCTACGGAAAGCGCCCATCCGACCTACGAAAAATGCCCATCCGACCTACAAAAAGCGCCCATCCGGTCGGATTGTTT